ATGAAAAACCCTCCGAAAACACCAAGGCAGGCAGCTGCATGCTGCGGTCACCTAGAGGATCCGTGGGTAAGGTACTTTCTTAAAAATCTTATTGCTCTCCAACGGTTTATATTAAGAAGGGCAAATTGCACATCAACCCTTGTAAATTTCTAATTTTCGCACTTTACCTCTCAAAAATTTTAAAAGTGAATGTCCCCGTGCAAAATATTATTTTTGTTGCACATTGCCCCCATAGAAAAATTCTAATGGATTATTCATCAGGATTGAGTATTTTTGTTGCACGTTGCCTCTTTAAATGTTATTTTTATTGCACCTTGCCCCTTAAAACATTACTTATTTGCACATTGCCCCTTGAAAATGTTATTTTTGTTGCTCAATGTCCTCCAAAAATTGGCTTATGGGGCAAAGTGCAATCAATATAATATTTCGAAGGGGGAAAATCCATTGTTTTAGTTTTTAGGGGGGAAAGTGCGAAAAGCTTAAATTTATAGGGGGCAAAGTGCATTTTGTCCTATTAAGAAAAAATAAGATTTTTTTTTTTTAAATTTACCAAACACTTTGGAAGAGCTTATAAGCTCTAAAACATCTTATAAGCTCCTTTTAACATCTCATAAACTTAGCCAAACACCCTCTAAGAAAAGAAGAAAGCGGAGCCGGAATCTAGTGGGTATAACAGTTGTTTGTCCGAAAGTTTTAGAACCAAATTAGGAAGCATCAACTTTTAAGAAATTAACTAACGGTAGGGTGCTGATAGTGACAATAAAAAGTACCTCGGAGAGCTGCTCGCTTATTGGAGAAGACATGTCGAGTCTCGTCCAGAGCATTTGTCAGCAAATCGAGAAAGAATTGTCGAGGAACTCCTCCATAGCTCAGAAGAGAAATCAAATATTTGGAAAGATTGTTTCTGCCTGGTCTATGACTGAAATACGAAACCCGGAGTTAGTAAATGTTGCCCAAAGGGAAGAAATTGGATGCATTCGCTGTATTTTTTTTCATGAGCTCATTTTATGTGTTAGTTGCATAGAATGTGGACAAGTCTCGAAACAACAGCACTAGTAACGCGAGAAGCAAGACAAAAAGTTTTTCAAAAGAATTTTTATATACATATTTGTAACATATTACTCTTTAAGAATATATATTTTTATTAAATTCCGTTGGTGTTATATTTAAAATCAATTTTTTAATATTTATAAAATTATTTAAAAAATAATTCATCTTTTTCTTTACATCGAGGTTCTAAACGACTCCGTTTTACTAAAAACTCATTACTCAATCACAAAAAAATAAAATATGTTAATATAATTTATTATAGCAAAAAAGCACATGCATTATTAGCATATGGATGTCAGAATAAAGAAAGATCTAATGCAAGAAAATTTGGGAAGAGTGAATTATAATGGAAGATACCTAATGGCGACGATCTCCAGTGAGTTAAAGGTTTCGTTGTTTGGCAATGTCGGGTCCTTGTCAACTTTAATCATGGAAGGTCTAACTTGAATGGTTCCTGGTTTAAGCTAAAGTGGTCTTGGTGTTAAGCAAACACTGAATCACTAATGCAAGAAACGGAAAACTAATTTTAATGCTTCCCATTAGCGACAACTCAGCTCTTACTGAAACCGGCTGATCATCCTACAACTCATATTATTATTATATAACTATCATACGGGAGGGATAAAGAGAAACTAGAGGCCGGAACTCTGAAGATTGGTTCATATTTTTCTAATGATGTAACTAAAACTTACTTTGTCAGACTAATAAAATCTAAATCAAGAACGTGATGTTTGACATATATTTATGAACAAATTATTCATATATTGGACTACGACAGTAAATCTTGGATGTTCGCAGTATCTATATCAATCTATATCTATATCTATTTTTATACTACACTTGTAGAAATTATGAGTATTTTAAATTCTAACTAAGGATTAGCCTAGTGGGGTATTGGAGCCTCTTCCATTGTGGTGTTTGGTAAGAGGCCGGGGCAATCCCTTTGGGTGCTTGTGTTGGATTTTATTAAACCCGCCCCCGCCTCGGACCCGGAAAAAAAAATATATTTTTTTTTTTATATTTATAATTTATTGAATAAAAATATCTTTAAAAATCAGTATTTTATGATATTAAAAAAATATATAAATGGGTTGGATACGGAGCGGGTAAGGGTGCATATGTTCAAAACCCGTACCCGCTACGGGTGAAATTTTTAAAACCCGTAACCCCCCCCTCCATTAGCTAACGGGGCGGGGATTACCCGGTAAATTTGGAGCTGGGCGGGTTAAATTGCCATCCCTAATAACTTTATTTGCAATAAGAAGATTTTGATTACAAGAAGATGGAGTAAACTGCAAAAACTACCCCTGTATAATCTCGAAATAGCAAAAACCCCCCTGTGATAAATAAACTAGCAAAAACCTCCCCTGTGAAATTATTTAAATAGCAAAAACCCCCCTATGGAACTATTTGAGGGTTGACTTGATATAAAAAGACACAAATACCCCTGGAGTCTTGCAATTAATAAATTCTTATATTTTATAAATATTTTAATTATTTTATTTAAAAAATAATCAATTTAGTTGTTTACTATTTTTTTTAATTTCTAAACAAACAAATTAAAAAGAATAAATATACATATAATATGTATATATATAAATACATTTTGAGGGACAATTTTGTCATTTCAAGTCTAAAAAATCAGCTAGGGGGGATTCTGCCTTTGACTAAATTTCACAGGGGGGTTTTTGCTAGTTTATTTATCACAGGGGGGTTTTCGCTATTTCGAGATAACACAGGGGTAGTTTTTGCAGTTTACTCCAAGAAGATGTGTATACCAGAAGCTAAACTCAAGAAAATTTCATTTCTGCTATATCTAATGGATTATTTTTACTGCAGATTAGCTTGCCATACAATTACACTTATAAATCCGTACATCAAATCGATAACCTTGACATACAAAAAAAAGTTGCAATTAAGTATGAGTTTACCTTTTTATTGATAAGAAGAGTTCCCTTAACAGCAACACCGTCATGGAACAAACGGCACTGCATCAATAATGGCTTGAATAGAGTAACGAAACATAAGATATTTTAGCTAACAATTTAAGAATAAAGTATAGCAAGTCAAAAATCTGTCAACACTAACAAACAGCGGAAATAATTAAACGACTACCGGCTCCTTATTCCTCTCTTCTGCTTCTCTTTTATGACAGGTTATCTGCTCAAAGTCAACGGAACTCTGTTACATTTCTAGAGTTGGAAAAAGAAAAAAAAATGAAGATAATCTAGAGTCAAAAATTAAACATTACTACTACGAAAATATTCTAATAAAAGCAATCAAATTTCTCACCTCAAAATTATTATTTGTGATATATTTCGCGGTTGTAAAATCTTTCGGACACTTCTTTGCTAAGTCTTCGGATATATATCCTGTTCCATCTGTATGTAAAATAGGCTTCCCATCTTCATCATAGACAATAGAGCCATTTTCATCCTAAAATTATGGAACAAGAAACATAACATATATTATTTTGTGCCTTCTACTAGTACGAAAGTTTTGACAATGAGCTAAAATAAGAATATTGATTAAAACACTGTATTATACTTGGAAAGGTATATCTTCAATTCTTTCAATTGTAACAGCAGCAAAATTAAGATCAAGCTTTATCGTCTTTGATAGGATCAGGGCAAATCTGAGTTGACATCAAAATGGTTAAAAAAATAAAATTTTCACAATGGGTATTCAATGGATGTTATAGTTAAGAGTAAATTACAACCACCCCTAAGGTATGGTCAATTTACGAAAACCCCACTCCTGTTAGGGGAATTACAACCCACCCTCAACTATAAATCTTCTTACACGTCCACCCTTGCGGTTTCAAATTTAGTGGAATATTCTAGATTATATGGAATATTCTCAATTTTGGACCTGTTTTATCCCATTCGAGCTCCACATTTTGAAGCTAGATGATCATAAGATGGTAGTTTTAGGCTTGTAAATATCAGATTGTGGTTTACCACAATCAGAAACTGTATTTTTGCACAAAACGAGTACAAATTAGAGAATATTCCACGGAATCTAAATCTAGATGATTATGTTGATTTTGACACCATAAGGGTGGAGATGTAAGAAAATTCATAGTTGAGGGGTAAATGTAATTATCCAAACAGGAGGAGTTTTTTCGTAATTTGACCATACCTCAGGGGTGGTTGTAATTTACCATATAATTAAAGAGGAACGATGTGCTGATTTTCAACCTGGCCATGTACTTTTCTATGGTCGAGAGAGTGTGTATGTGCATAAACAGCCGCCTTGCTTCACTGATTGTTTTTCTTGATAAAACATAATCTTCTTCGTAAGGAGAAATGGAGTCGATACGGACAAAATAGCACTTCACAGCAGAATAAATAGCCTTTTTCTCCTTCTCCATTTGTTTTTTCTTCACTTTTATGCGCTCATCTTTAAATACTATACAATAACACAACATATATCGTTAGTCGTTGAATGTTGTTAACAAGTTAAAGAGTCAATTCACATGCTACCACCTATTTTCCGACAATGGAGAATTTCCGTTGTTTCTGAAAAGGAGTCTGTAACTACACGGTTGTATTCGTTCATTTGAAAGTAGGGGTGGTAATCGGAAGGATTGATTAGAAATGGCTTTTTCGGAAATTTTCTAACTTTTTTCGGAAGTTATAAATAGGTTCCGATTTCCGTTCCAAAAAAACCGGAACTCAAAAATGCATTCCGATTTTGGAATGCGTCGGGAACGGCGGAATTTCGGAAAATTCGGAAATAACATGAATTTCGGAAAATTCGGAAAGAAGTAGAATAAATACCGAAAAATTGATAGCGCCTAAGGCCAACATGAATTCCTTCTTTAACAATATTGCCAGTCAAAGCTGCCCCATCTTCTAGAAACTTGACTATTAATATGTTGTCATCTCCTAACGACCGTTGCAGGTGAGTTCTCGTATTATTCAGAATAGGACCCTGTATTATCCAAACGGGCAACGATACTGAAAATGATTATACTACTGAAACAAAAAACAAGAAAGGAGAAATATCAAGCTGACGAGAAATCATAACAGGCGCAACCCTAGGAAAACTACAGAACAATATAAAGTCGAAAAAACACTGCTATCGAAAATCTACTGAAAAAATCGGAAGCTGATAAAAATTGGACAGGAGAAGGAAATTATAAAAGGCCAATACAGTCGGGACTAGCAAAGTTCTATTAATTTAGCGAAATATTAAATTATCGAACTAATAATTAAGTTGGTTTTGGCCAAGTCGGGACCAGAAGAAACTATTATTTAAGCAAGGTTATTAATTTATCGAGGTTTTACTGTACATGGTGTACATGGAGTTTGAGGTTAGCACTGACCTTGAAATAATAACCTCCGTCTTGGCAAACATGACAGTAGTAGATATGGGTTTTCCCTGAATCCCAATCGAGATACTGCACAAAACAAATTGTCGTACTATATACCTTACGTGTGTATAACACGGTGATTTATAGATTCATGTAACAAAATTTAACAAAATATAGAAAAAGGAAAACTAATTACCAAAGCCAGTAATATTGATAAAACAAACATAAAACATAAAACTGAAAAAAGAATGCGAGCCCAACGCACCGTAACGGAAAGACCAATTATTAAGGTTGTACAGCTTACCTGGATACGATCTGCTTTGTCACAGAAACGCTGGCCATATTTGTTCCAAATTTTGCTCTCGAAAACATCCATAGGAATGCCTTTCATACTAGAGATATCACGAGCGCCATCTGGAGTAATTACAGCTTCCAACTTTTGCCTACGATGCAAAAATTGGTTTTGTTTTTACTTTGAACCAAATAACGTAAATAAAACAACATTAAAGAACAGGAAAAAGTAAAGCTAACCTCCTGATGTAACTTAGAACCAAAAATAACTGCCTGTATTCAAGTTTGCTCAGGACCATCAACTGCTGACTGATCGTGGCAGAATGTTCTATCTCTCTATGTTGACCGGTAAGTGATAGTTGACTTCTGACGCAAGGGCTCGTCTTTTCTTGAGTTTCATCTTCAAAAGATAGCTGTGAACGGATACTTTTAAGGCCTGTATTATGCAAATTCGATGAGTAACAACATTACACTGAAAGACTTGTTTAAGTCAATTTGTACTTCACGAGAGCACGAAAAAGAAGAAGAAATCAAGAAGTATAAATAAAATTATTTAGATACTAATCAACAACCAATAATTGTGCTAATTGAGAAGCAGGGATTTCAATGAACTATGGTGCCATAGAACCGTAGCTAAAAGCATAACTCTAAGACGTGTTCATGGATAGGGATGCAAGTTGGAACGGAAATTCCAATTTCCGCCGGTTCCGATCCGGAAAGTTCCGATTTTGGAACAACTTTTCTCATTCTGACTTCCGAAATTCCGATTTCCGATTTTTTTGGATTGGAATCGGAATTATATAAAAAAAAATTGGAATTTCCGATTTCTGATCCGATTTAATTTCCAAATTTTAATTCCGAAACATTCCGATTTTTTTCCGAAAAATACACCAGTAAATAATATATATTATATAATACTTCTTACAATTTTTTTATTTTTTATTTTTTATTTTTTTTTTCTGAAACAGTGATTTGATTTAAGTTTTGTTTTAGGATTTTGACGTATTGAATAGTTGTTAGAAGTTTTATGGGATATTATGACGTGGTTTAACTTTATTTATTTATTGTGAACTAAAATTTAGTAGTTATTAGTTTTATTTTTATCGACGTGGATGTTCTTAGTTTTGGAAAATTAAGAAAATTCCCGCTAGGTTTTGAAATTTTGAAACATTCCGAAATTTCCGGGCCTTTTGGAATTGGAAATATTGAAACTTATTAGATTTTGTAACATTTATATATATAAACAAAAAAAGAAAATTAAAAATAAAAGAAGATGGAAATTTGACTTACGCAGTGGCGCGTGGGGAGAAGTAGAGGTGGAGGGCGGCGACGAAAGCCTAGGGGAAGTGTGAGTTGTGAGAAGATTAGGGTTATCTTTGTTGACCAAATGAGAGACGAAACCGGTGAAGCTGTAAATGGGTTTATTTGATGATAAAATGGTAGAGAGTATCCTGAGTGAAGATTGTTCCCCAATTTGTTGTAGCATCTTTCTGGCAGACTTAGCGAGTGGTGGCTGATTCTTTTCGTCGCGAATTCTCTTTATGCACCGCTCCACTGCTTCTGGTAAACGAACAATTTCTTCATTGCGAGAAGGCGAAGCCGAAGGAGAAGCATCCATTATTTTTTATTTTATTTTAAATTTGGGTTTTCTTCTTCTTCAGTTCTTCTTCTAGGTTTTCACAAAAATTATCTATTTTGGGGAAGAGTGTGTGATCATACAAGAGTGGAAATGTATGTCGGACTGATCGGAATTCGGGACAGTGTGTGTGAAATCTAAGTGGGGGTACTGTTTATGCTTTACTTTACACGTTACGTATATCGGAAGAATTACACTTTCCAACCCCATGTCCGGACCCGCCGGGTCGGGGTCCAACTTTTAGGAGACCCGAAACTGACCCGCGGGGAGGCGGGTCCATCTGGGTCCGGGTTCAAACCGATTTTGGCATTAACTTTGAGCTAAGCATTCGTCCTCTCATTAAAGAATGAGCTTGTGCTAAGCATTTTTACTTTCATTTTAGCTTTAGCTTCGAGCTCAGCATTCTTCCTCTCCTTATGGAATTAACTTTTGGTAAGCAATCTTACATTCATTTACGCATTAGCTTCGAGCTTAGCATTCCTACTTTTCTTTTAGCATTAGCTTCGACCTTAGCATTGTTCCTCTCCTTACGGAATTAGCTTGTGCTAAGCATTCTTACTTTCCTTTTAACATTAGCTTCGAGATAAGCATTCTTCCTCTCCTTATGTAATTAGCTTTCGCTAAGCATTCTTACTTTCCTTTTGACATTAGCTTCGAGCTAAGCATTCTTACTTTTCCTTTGGAATTAGCTTCGAGCTAAGCATTCTTTCTCTCCTTATGGAATTAGCTTTTGCTAAGCATTCTTACTTTCCTTTTGGCATTAGCGTCTAGCTAAGCATTATTATTCTCCTTGTAGCATTAGCTTGTGCTAAGCATTCTTACTTTCCTTTTGGCATTAGCTTCGGGCTAAGCATTCTTACTTCCCTTTCGGCATTAGCTTCGAGCTAAGCATACTTCCTCTCCTTATGGAATTAACTTTTGCTAAGCATTCTTACTTTCTTTTTTTGCATTAGCTTCGAGCTAATCATATGTGCTTTCATTTGGGCATTAGCTTTGAGCTAAGCATTCGTCCTCTCTTTATCGAATTAGCTTTTGCTAACCATTCTTACTTTCCTTTTGGCATTATATTCGCGCTAAGCATTCTTACTTTCCTTTTGCAACTAGCTCCGAACTTACCATTTTTACTTACCTTTTAGCAATGTTTTGAAAACCGGACCGGACCGGCCGGTCCAACCGGTTCAACCGCGAACCGCCGCCATGTCCGGTCCGGTTAAATATGAAAACCCAAAAAACTCAAAAACCCGGGTCAACAGCAAAAATCCCGGTTCGACCGGTAAGAACCGGTTAACCCGAGACCAAGTCCGCAAACCGGTTTTCAGCTCAGGACAAAATATCAATGTCGGATCTACATCAATGGTGGTCGTCGGTGAATGAATCTTGACGGGAAAGGTTGTTGGTGAACGGATATAGACCGATCTGGGTAGTATCTAACCCAATCCAAGTTGTGGCCGCCATAACTTTCCACCGAGGAAAAGAAAACGAAGAAGGTAAAAGTTAAAATGAAGAAAAAAATGTAAAATAAGTAGAGAAAATAAAGTATATGTGTTGGTGGAGATTATGATAATTAAGAATTTACAGAGAAAGAAGGGAAGAAAAAGAAGGGGATGGGGACTGTGAAGAGTCGGGAGGAAGAAGAAAGAGGAGGAAGAAGAAGAGAGGGGGAGAGAAAGAAGAGAGGGAGAGAGGGGAGAGAAATAATTTTAAATTATTTTTTATAAAAAAAGTAGAGTATAAAGTGATTAAAGTGGGATAGAAATATAAAAATATAAAATATATTATATTTGAGGTATTAAATTAATAAAATAATTATATATAAAAAATAATAAAAAACCCGGTTGGACCTCGGTTGAACCGGTCCAACCGTGACCCAGTAGCTTAGCCGGGTCGATGTTCGGTCCGGTTTTCAAAACATTGCCTTTTAGAATTACCTTTGAGCTAAGTATTCTTACTTTCCTTTTGGCATTAGATTTGAGCTACGCATTTTTCCTCTCCTTATAGAATGAGCTTGTTCTAAGCATTCTTACTTTCATTTTGGCATTAGCTTCGAGCTCAGCATTCTTCCTCTCCTTATGGAATTAACTTTTGCCACGCAATCTTACCTTCATTTTTGCATTAGCTTCGAGCTTAACATCTTACTTTTATTTTGGCATTAGCTTCGAGCTTAGCATTGTTCCTCTCCTTATGGAATAAGCTTGTGCTAAGAATTCTTACTTTTGTTTTAATATTAGCTTCGAGATAAGCATTCTTACTATCCTTATGTAATTAGCTTTTGCTAAGCAATCTTACTTTCCTTTTGGCATTAGCTTCGAGCTAAGCATTCTTACTTTTTCTTTGGAATTAGCTTCGAGCAAAGCATTTTTTCTCTCCTTATGGAATTAGCTTTTGCCAAGCATTCTTACTTTCTTTTTGGCATTAGCATCGAGCTAAGCAATATTCATCTTCTTATGGAATTAGCTTTTGCTAAGCATTCTTACTTTCCTTTTGGCATTAGCTTCGAGCTAAGCATTATGAATTAGCTTGTGCTAAGCATTCTTAATTTCGTTTTGGCATTAGCTTCGAGCTAAGCATTCTTCCTCTCCTTACGGAATTACCTTTTGCTAAGCATTCTTACTTTCCTTTTGGCATTAGCTTCGAGCTCGAATTATTCCTCTCCTTGTGGAATTAGTTTGTGCTAAGAATTCTTACTTTCCTTTTGGTATTTGCATCGACCTAAGCATTCTTCCTCTCTTTATGGAATTAGCTTTTGCTAAGAATTCTTACTTTCCTATTGGTATTTGCTTCGATCTAATAATTCTTACTTTCTTTTTGGAATTACCTTTGAGCTAAGCATTCTTACATTTCTTTTGTTATTAGCTTCGAGCTAAGCATTATACATCTCCTTATGGAATTATCTTATACTAAGCATTCTTACTTTTATTTTGGCATTAGCTTCGAGCTAAGCATTCGTACTTTCCCTTTGGAATTAGCTTCGAGCTAAGCATTCTTTCTCTCCTTATGGAATAAGCTTTTGCTAAGCATTCTTATTTTCCTTTTGGCATTAGCATCTAGCTAAGCATTATTCCTCTCCTTGTAGAATTAGCTTGTGCTAAGCATTCTTACTTTCCTTTTGGCATTAGCTTCGAGCTAAGCATTCTTCCTCTCCTTATGGAATTAGCTTTTGTTAATTCTTACTTTCCTTTTGGCATTAGCTTCGAGCTAAGAATTCTTACTTTCCATTTGGCAGTAGTTTCGAGCTTAGCATTCTTCCTCTTCTTATGGAACAAGCTTTTGCTAAGAATTCTTACTTTCCATTTCGCATTAGCTTTGAGCTAAGCATTCTTACTTTCCTTTTGGAATTAGCTGCGAGCTAAGAATTCTTATTCTCCTTAAGGAAATAGCTTTTGCAAAGCATTCTTACTTTCGTTTTTACATTAACTTCGAGCTTAGCATTTTTCCTCTCCTAATGTAATTAGCTTGTGCTAAGCATTCTTAATTTCCTGTTGGCATTAGCTTCGAGCTAAGCATTCTTCCTCTCCTTACGGAATTAGCTTTTGCTAAGCATTATTACTTTCCTTTTGGCCTTAGCTTCAGGCTAAGCATTCTTACTTTCCTTTTGGCATTATCTTCGAGCTAAGCATTCTTCATCTCCTTATGGAATTACCTTTTGCTAAGAATTCTAACTTTCCTCTTCGTATTAGCTTCGAGCTACGCATTATTCATCTCCTCGTGGAATTACCTTGTGCTAAGAATTTTTACTTTCCTTTTGATATAGGTTCGAGCTAAGGATTCTTCCTCACCTTATGGAAATAGCTTTTGCTAAGCATTCTTACTTTCCTTTTGGTATTAGCTTCGAGCTAAAACATTCTTACTTTCCTTTTGGCATTAGCTTCGAGCTAAGAATTGTTCCTGTCCTTATGGAATTAGCGTGTGCTAAGTATTCTTACGTTCCTTTTGTCAGTAGTTTCGACCTAAGCATTCTTCCTCTCCTTATGGAATCATCTTGTGCTAAGCATTCTTACTCTCCTTATGGAATCATCTTCGAGCTAAGCATACTTGATTTCCTTTTAGCATTAGCTTCGAGCTAAGCATACTTCCTCTCTTTATGGAATTAGCTTTATCTAAGCGGTCTTACTTTCCTTTTTGCATTAGATTCGAGCTAAGAATTCTTACTTTCCTTTTGCAATTAGCTTCGAACTTAGCATTCTTACTTACCTTTTGGAATTAGCTTTGAGCTAAGCATTCTTACTTTCCTTTTGGAATTAGCTTTGAGCTAAGCATTATTCATCTCCTTATAGAATGAGCTTGTGTTAAGCTTTCTTACTTTCATTTTGGCATTAGCTTCGAGCTAAGCATTCTTCCTTTCCTTATGGAATTAAGTTTTGCTAAGCAATCTTACCTTCCTTTTCGCATTAGCTTCGAGCTTAGCATTCTTACTTTTCTTTTGGCATTAGCTTCAAACTTAGCATTGTTCCTCTCGTTATGGAATTAGTTTGGCAAAGCATTCTTACTTTTCTTTTAGCATTAGTTCGAGATAAGCATTCTTACTTTCCTTTTCGCATTAGCTTTGAGCTAAGCATTCGTACTTTGTTTTTGGTATTTGCTTCGAGCAAAGCATTCTTACTTTCCTTTTGGCATTAGCTTCGAGCTAAGCATTCTTCCTCTCCTTATGGAATCACCTTTTGCTAAGCACTCTTACTTTCCTTTTGGCATTAGCTTCGAGCTAAGCATTATTCCTCCCTAAATGGAATTAGCTTGTGCTAAGCATTCTTACTTTTCTTTTGGCATTAGCTTCAAGCTAAGAATTATTCCTCTCCTTGTGCAATTAGCTTGTGCTAAGCATTCTTACTTTCCTTTCGGCATTAGCTTCGAGCTAAGCATTATTCCTCACCTTATGGAATTACCTTTTTCTAAACATTCTAACTTTTCTTTTGGCATTAACTTGGAGGTAAGCATTTTTACATTCCTCTTGGAATTATCGTCATCTAAGCATTCTTACTTTCCTTTTGGCATTAGCTTCGAGCTAAGCATTATGTCTCGACTTATGCAATTAGCTTGTGTTAAGCATTCTTACTGTCCTTTTGGCATTAGCTTCGAGTTAAGCATTCTTCCTCTCCTTATGGAATTAGCTTTTGCTAAGCATTTTTACCTTTCTTTTGGCATTAGCTTCGAGCTAAGCATTCTTACTTTCCTTTTCGAATTACCGTCGATCAAAGCAATCTTACTTTCCTTTTGTACTAAGAATTCTTACATTCATTTTGGCATTTGCTTCTAGTTAAGCATTCTCCCTCTCCTTATGGAATTAGCTTTTGCTAAACATTCTTACTTTCCTTTAGGGATTAGCTTCGAGCTAAGCATTATCCATCTCCATAGGAAATTAGCTTTTGCTAAACATTCTTACTTTCCTTTTGGCATTAGCTTCGTGCTAACCATTGTTCGTCTCCTTATGGAAATAGCTTTTGCTAAGCATTCTTAATTTCATTTTGGCATTAGTTTCGAGCTAAGCATTCTTACTTTCCGCTTGGCATTAGCTTCGAGATAAGTATTCTTCCTCTCCTTATAGAATTAACTTTTGCTAAGCATTCTTACTTTCCTTTTGAAGATTTATTCCTCTCCTTATGGAATAAGCTTGTGCTAAGCATTATTACTTTCCTTTTGGCATTGCTTCGAGCTAAGCATTCTCCCTCTCCTTATGGAATTAGCTTTTGCTAAACATTCTTACATTCCTTTTAGGATTAGCTTCGAGCTAAGCATTATTCCTCTTCATATGGAATGAGCATGTGCTAAACATTCTTAATTTCCTTTTGACATTAGCTTTGAGATAAGAATTGTTACTTTCCTTTTGGCATTAGGTACGAGCTAAGCATTGTAACTTTCCTTTTGCATTAGCTTTGGGTTAAGCATTCTTACTTTCCTTTTGGCATTAGCTTCGACCTAAGCATTATATCTCTCCTTATGGAATTAGCTTGTGCTAAGCATTCGTACTTTCCTTTTGGCATTAGCTTCGAGCTAAGGTTTCTTCCTCTTTTTATGGAATTAGCTTTTGCCAAGCATTCTTACCTTCCTTTTGGCATTAACTTCGAGCTAAACATTCTTACTCTCCGTTTGGAATTACCGTCGAGCAAAGCATTCTTACTTTCCTTTTGGGATTAGCTTCTAGCTAAGATTTATTCCTCTCCATGTGGAATAAGCTTGGACTAAGCATTCTTACTTTCCTTTTGGCATTTGCTTCGAGTTAAGCATTAACCCTCTTCTTATGGAATTAACTTTTGCTAAACATTCTTACTTTCCTTTTGGGATTACATTCGAGCTAACTATTATTCCTCTCCATTTTGAATAAGCTTGTGCTAAACATTCTTACTTTCCTTTTGGCATTAGCTTTTAGCCAAGCATTGTTACTTTCCTTTTGACATTAGCTTCGATTTAAGCATTCTTACTTTCCTTTTGCATTAGCTTCGAGCTAAGAATTCTTACTTTCCTTTTGGCATTAGCTTCGATATAAGTTTTATTCCTCTCCTTATGGAGTAAGCATATGCTAAGCATTGTTACTTTCCTTTTGGCATTTGCTTCGAGCTAAGTATTCTTACTTTCCTATTGAAATTACCGGCGAGCAAAGCATTCTTACTTTCAGTTTTGCATTACCTTCGAGCTAAGATTTATTCCTCTCCTTATGGAATAAGCTTGTGCTAAGCAATTTTTACTTTCCTTTTGGCGTTTGCTTCGAGCAAACCATTCTCCCTCTCCTTATGGAATTAGCTTTTCCTAAACATTCTTACTTTCCTTTTAGGATTAGCTTCAAGCTTAGCATTATTCCTCTCCATATGTAATTAGCCCTTGCTAAACATTCTTACTTTCCCTTTGGCATTAGCTTTGAGCTAAGCATTGTTACATTACTTTCGGTATTAGCTTCGAGCTAAGCATTGTTACTTTCCTTTTGCATTATCTTCGAGCTAAGCATTCTTACTTTCGTTTTGCCATTAGCTTCAAGCTAAGCATTATATCTCTCCTTATGGAATTATCTTGTGTTAACCATTCTTAATTTCCTTTTGGCATTAGCTTCGAGCTAAGCATTCTTGCTCTCCTTATGGAATTAGGTTTTTTCTTAGCATTCTTACATTTCTTTTGTCATTAGCTTTGAGCTAAGCATTATTAGTTTCCTTTTCGAATTACCGTCGAGCAAAGCATTCTTACTTTCGTTTTGGCGTTTGGTTCAAGTTAAGCATTCTCCCCTCCTTATGGAATTACCTTTTGCTAAACATTCTTACATTCCTTTTAGGATTAGCTTCGAGCTAAGCATTATTCCTCTCCATATAGAATGAGCTTGTGCTAAACATTCTTACTTTTCTTTTGGCATTAGCTTTGAGCTAAGCATTGTTACATTCCTTTAGGCATTAGCTTCGAGCTAAGCATCAATGAAATTAGCTTGTGCTTAGCATTCTTACTTTCCTTTTGGCAATAGCTTCGAGCTAAGCATCATTCCTCTCCTTATGGAATTAGGTTTTGCTAAGCATTCTTACGTTCCTTTTGACATTAGCTTCGAGCTAATCATTCTTACATTCCTTTTGGAATTACCGTCGAGCAAAGCATTCTTACTTTCCTTTCGTCGTTAGCTTCGAGCTAAGCTTTATTCCTCTCCTTATGGAATAAGCTTGTACTACGCATTCTTACTTTCCTTTATGGCATTTGCTTCGAGCTAAGCCATCTCCCTCTCCTTATGGAATTTGCTTTGTCTAAACATTCTTACATTCCTTTTGAGATTAGCTCGAGCTAAGCATTATTCCTCTCCATATGGAATTAGCTTGTGCTAAACATTCATACTTTCTTTTGGCATTATCTTTGAGCAAAGCATTTTTACATTCCTTGTGGCATTAGCTTCGAGTTAAGCCTTGTTACTTTCATTTTTGCACTAGCATCGAACTAAGCATCCTTACATTCTTTTGGCATTAGCTTCGAACTAAGATTTATTCCTCTCCTTATGGAATAAGCATGTGCTAAGCATTCTTACTTTCCTTTTGTCGTTTGCTTCGAGCTAAGCATTCTCCCCTCCTTATGGAATTAGCTTTTGCTAAACATTCTTACTTTTCTTTTGACATTAACTTTAAGCTAAGCATTGTTACTTTTCTTTTGGCATTAGCTTCGACCTAAGCATCGTTATTTTTCTTTTCCATAAGCTTCCAGCTAAGCATTCTTACTTTCGTTTTGGCATTAGCTTCAAGCTAAGCATTATATCTCTCCTTATGGAATTAGCTTGTGCTAAGCATTCTTATTTTCCTTTTGGTATTCGCTTCGAGCTAAGCAATCTTGCTCTCCTTTTAGAATTAGGTTTTGCTAAGCATTCTTACGTTCGTGTTGGCATTATATTTGAGCTAAGCATTCTTACTTTCCTTTTGGAATTACCGTCGAGCAAAGCATTTTTACGTTCCTTTTGGCATTAGTTTCGAGCTAAGCATTCTTACTCTACTTTTGGAATTACCGTCGAGCAAAGCATTCTTCCTTTCGTTGTGGCGTTAGCTTCGGGCTTATTAACACAACAAAACTCATTATTATTGTGTAATAGAGTAATATTACTATGTTGACCATTCAACAAATGTAAACATAATAAAAGGCCAAAGAATTAATATTACTGTGAGTGACAGTAATATTACTATAACAACAGTAATATTACCGTCAACCATAGTAATTACAATAATAGACAGTAATATTATTACGTTACTCCGTGAATAACTCAAACAAAACAAAAAAACCCAAACAAAATAATAATATTGATGTGGTTGACAGTAATATTACTACAACAATAGTAATATTACCGTCAACCATAGTAATATTATTCTGTTTACAATAATATTACAATAATAGACAGTAATATTATTACTTTACTCTGTGAATAACTCAAACAAAACAAAAAATCCCAAACAAAATAATAATATTGATGTGGTTGACAATAATATTATTGTGTTTACAGTTATTTTACTGTCAACGACAGTAATATAATTACGTTGACTTATCAACAAATCAAACAAAATTAAAAAAATAACCAAAAAAAAAAATAATAATAATAATATTACGTTAATTTACTGTCAACGGCAGTACAATTACACAAATATATTGTCAACGGCAGTACAATTACGTTAATGTACTGTCAGTGACAGTATAATTACGTTAATTTACTGTCAGTGACAGTATAATTACCGTTAATGACAGCACAATTGTGGTCAACGTTTATCGGCGGACGTAAGAAAATAAAAAATAAAAAATAACACTAAAAACACTAAAAAAAAGTCAACGCTGGAGACCGGCGGTCAACGCCGGAATCTGGCGGCGGAAAAACAGACTAGAAAAAAAAAATCGAAAAGTCAATGCGAGAATCCGGCGGCAAAATTTTTTTTTAAAAAAAAAGTCAAAATTAGATTTTTGTTGTCAGAATTGATTAAATTGGGGTTACAATTAAGAATTGGGTGTAAAAAGGTTGGGGGTAATTTTGTCATATACATGAATATTTCATTTATTTATAATAAATATTAAAAGGATGGACTTACTAGTGAAAGGGATATAGCCCCAAAACCTAAACTAATAAAGATGTTTGGTTAGGTACTTATGCAAAAAACCCTATTATTATATATATTTTCTTTTGGTACTAAATGAAATTCTAGAATCTCTACTAATCGATGTACTTATTAGATTTTGTTATACATAAGAATTAATTGAGGGCCATGACTAAAATTTTATAATAATAGGTGTCATATTGTAATTATTGCACCTCATATCAACTTCAAGATGGAAAACACTTCCTGGATTTGCACGTTCCGCTTCTCGAAAATACGCGGGGAGGTACGAATACGAAAGGCCATGATCGCCGAAAATCTTGTCTCTCCCGCCATCGGTTGATCTCCACGACACATAGTATGTTATGTCCAGCCCATAGTGTTCTTTTATCTGTGCTTGAATTTGACGAGGAGTAATGGCCGGCATTGTGCGAATATAACCATCGATTAGTTCCATGATTACATCAGAAGTGATCCGCTTCTTACTAGCAGTGCCGAAAAACATGCCACATCTATGGTTGTTGTTATAATTACGAATGTAAAAGTAATTATTAGACTTATCTACCGACGCATGAATCCTCCATGGGCACTGCTTTTCATCCTTAAACCGACATTCAGCAGTAACCCTGCAAGTCTCATTCTTCAAATACACGTATTCGAACCCAATCTCCACCGAAAACTTTACAAGTGACTTCCTAAACTCATCAGCACCACCAGCAAATTCTTGGCCTTCATGCTTAATTAAGTTAGCCCATTCCGCGCTCAACAATCTCTTGCCGTTGCCCGGTGATACTTTTAAAATATTTTGTTGTTCACTAACTACGGCAGCCCTATCGTATTCGACCAATGTTACGATCGGCTGGACAGGCGGCGCTTGGATACATTCATCTGGGATATCATCGGCAATTTCCTGCTCCTTTACTGTTACCTCGACGCGGCCCCCACCAATCTCACGCATGATGAACAACATTGAAGTTAAATCATCGTCGTTCGCAAGTATGCAGTCATCATAAACATCAAACTTATAAGTTAACAAGAAGTTGCATCCATTAATCGCGTCAAACTTCGACCAAACATACTTTATCAGCGAATCATAATTCATGCGATCCGACCACCGTTTTATTGCAACAATACTCCGAAACCTCAACACAAGGGTCACAATGAAATCCATCTGTCTGCATAGGGTGATTAACCGCGTAAAGGTTTTAAGACTTCATAAAAATAGCATGAAATACATGGCATGTTAATAATCTGTACTTAAAAACCGCAATACGTCATGAAAACCACTATGCAATTTTGAAATCGCTACTGATCTGCCGGAATTGATAACATATGTATACACCTTTAAGGACATAACAATCGATGGCAGTCGATAAGTAGCGATAAAAACCATATGTATACACCTTAAAAGTTTATTTACAGAAACGATCACATAAAAACCACTCTGCAATTTTGTAAATCGCTACTGAACAGCAAGAATTGGTAACATGTGTATACACCTTAAAAGACATAACAATCGATAACAATCGATTAAAAACATATGCATACACCTTAAAAGATTATTTACAGAATCGAACAACATGTAAAAAATTTAAACTTACATAAATTGCGAAAAGCCACGAAAACAGATCTGTATAATTTGTTCCTTCTTTTCCGATTTATGCGATCAGATCACAAAATATTGGGGGTAAACAATAACCAGCACGTTGAAGCGGTGCTCTATAATGGAGGGACGATAATCATGGGATTGTTTTAAGAACGTGCTGTTGAGATATAACGGGAATAGATATACGTATCTTTATTTTTCCTATTTTTTAATTATCAAAACTAAAAATTACGTTACTTATAAGGTAGGGGTATAATTGTGATAATTTATTTATTTTAATTAATAAAATCTGATTTGGATTTATCTCAAAAATTGGCTAAAATTTTGGGTTGATCGTAACATCACTTGTGTGATGGGGGGTTTTGCCAAATTTTCCCAATATATATGTCACTATCACTTCATTAATATTAGGATAAAGTTGGACAAAAAAAATGTTCAATGTAGAAAAAGTAATATGGTCAAATTTACACTTATTTTCATAGATACATAGTAATTAGTAAATAATCATTACGTTACAAAAAATGGTAGACCATAATAATAGATTATAATTCTTTTTTTTTTTTTAGGATTGAGACTATACTACAGTTTAATACAATAATATTGCTATATTAATCTCAAGACAGTAATATTAACACAACAAAAGTCATTATTATTGTGTAATAGAGTAATATTAGCATTTTGACCATTCAACAGAGGTAAATATAATAAAAAACCAAAAGAATTAATAATGATGTGGTTGACAGTAATAGTACTGTAACAACAGTAATATTACTTACTGTAACAACACTAATATTTGTAATATTACTGTAACAATAATAATATTACTGCCAACCACAGTAATATTATTGTGTTTACAGTAATATTACAATAGTAGACAGTAATATTATTACGTTACTCCGTCAACAACTTAAACAAAACAAAAAACCCAAAATATAATAATATTGGTATGGTTGACAGTAATATTATTGTGTTTACAGTTATTTTACTATCAAATTGATATTTTATGTATGAAATACAATTCATCTAAGAAAACATTATAATCAATGTGTGTAAATGTATCAGCATGCATTTGGTACTAACAAGCTTAGATTGTCGTGCAACAAACATAGTTAAATTGAAATTCTTGTAATTCCATATATACATAAATGAAAGTAAAATGACAAAATGTAGAGCATTAGTAATTCCCAATTAGTAAAGAATATTTGATTTTTTAAATGTCGTATGTATTTTTTTTATTATGTAGTTAATTTTTACACCAAATTTTACAACATAATTATTTTTAATTTTATAATTATTATTGATTATTTATTTGTAATTATTAAAAATGAAATATACACCAGAATTAAGCATATATTGTGATATTATAAATTTTATATAATGAGTTTGAATTTTTGTTTTACATTTTATATTACAACGGTAATTTTTTTTTTCCAAATTCGTACTCTTTTTCCCCCACTTTCACTCTTTGGTGACATTCCCAATCTCCAATTTGAAGAGCAAAAGCGGCGGCGGCGGTGGCGGTGATAATACAAAGTAGGAGAAGAAAAAGCTTTAACCATCTTTACTCATACGCAACTCTCTATTTCTTGCGCTAAGAAATGGGTGGTGCTAGACAGAGGCGGTGTCGACGGAGAGGAATTTGAAGGAGTGGGAGGATGGCGGTGGTGCGAGACGGCGGCGCGGAGGTGGGCCGACGGACAGGAACGAGGAAGAAGATGTCTTCTTTTTTCATTATTTCACAATTTTGGATATTTTGAAAATTACAATTTGGTCCTCCTATACATTTAGGTTATCTATAAATAAACCAATCATATTTGTTTTGGGCTAATAATACACTTTGCACACCTAAAGTATAGCCTATGTAACACTTACCCCTTAAAGTATCATTTGTAACACTTACCCCCTCAACATCAAATATTTTATATTTTAAAATTAAAATATAATAAACATAACAATCTAATAATTATTTGATCATAAAAGTTGAAAAGTAACTAAAATTAACTTATTGGAAAAAAATAATAAAAAGTAATATATATTGTATAATAATGAATGAATGAAAATATATTTTAAGAAATTGATGAACTAAAATAAGTTTAAATACTTAAGATTACTATTATTTATGTATTGATATCTCAAAATTTATCGATATGAATATATTCGATTAGTTGGTCCAATAACAATTAGATATTATTTATTAAATATGTACCCAACAATAGAGGATATTATTTTTAAATTTTTAAATATTGCATTTTTCAACAAATATTTTGGTAGTATAATTTAATTATTCTCTTAGTTGTTATTTTAAATAAAAAAAGAGAAAAATTTAAGGTATTAGGATTTAAAATACAAATTGAATTGAGCTATGGGGGTTAAGTGTTACAAATGATATTTTAGGGGGTAAGTGTTGCATATGGATTACATTAGGGGTGTAAACTGTATTTAACTTTTTTTTTTTTTAATATATAAAGGGGTATTTGTGACATTCAACCTACAAATAGCATAAAAAATCGCACAGCCCGCGAGTGAGAGACACGATTTATCTCCAGGTTCTTGATGCCTTGACTTTAGTTACATGGGAGGCGTTTGTGAGTGCTTTTTTTTTTTTTTTTTTTTTTTTTATTATTATTTTTACAGTGGCTATTTGCCGAATAGAGATTACACAAGGAATGTATTTCCAATTAGTTCTAACAAATACACAGTGGTACATTTGTTATATTCAAAAGTACTTTGACTGTACTATATTCGTATAATATATTAAAGCTTATTACAAATAAACTCATCATCGGCTACTTATTTATAAAGGGATTTAGACGAAAAATTCTTTTACGAAAAAAATCAAACTTATTGGCGAAAGAGATATAGCTCATGAATCTTAGAATAACAAAGATTATTGGTGAGGGAGTTATGCATAAAAACCACATATATTAATTGGCTATACTATTTTTGTGACACGCGCTCTAATGATACTTAAAGATTAGAAAGTTAGTCCAAATCTTTAAGAAAATAATTAGTGTGAAATGTACTTTTAGAAATCACTTTCAATAAATAAAAGTCACGTAGAAAATTCCTTTTTAAAATCAGAGAAAGACTATATGTAATATTATATAATATTCAATTAATTTTTCTTTTAAAATAAAAAATAGAACAGAGGTCTATAAATTTGTATTTTGAGTTTTGACGTCTTTAATATATTATTTGAATTTCAAATTTTGTTTTTTATTAAATTTCACAATTTTATTAAATAAGTTACAATTAAAAATTCATAATAAATTTTCATTTTTATAAAAGTTAGTTGGTCGGTTAAAATTATCGGTCCGGCCAAATGACTTGTTTAATTATCGATTATCAACCATGAAAAGTGGGTTGAAAGTAGTCGGTTGACGAATAAAACCGACCCATATCGAGCCTTAGATCAGAAAACTTCAAATAATGGAAAATATTCACACACCAAAAAAAAAAAGCAAACAATGGGGAGTTAGCCTCATAGGATGCTACATAGATTCATGATTTATCATAATTTTGGTCATGCATGTAATAAAATTTTCAATGCTTATGTCTCTGCAAAATATGAAATATGTAGGGCCTAAATAGTTCCAAATTTAACCTAAATAATTGTTAAGTGACCGTTGGTTTGTCAATTAAGTTTTTAATACAAAATTATTTTCTTTCTTTCTTTTCATTTAAATTTTTGTGATCCATTTAATATGCTTACAAAATGTACATCTGAATTATGGTTCACACACACAAAGTGTCATAAATGATTTGATGGTATAAAGAATGCTTAGTTCGAAGCTAATGCAAAAGGAAAGTAACAGTGCTTGGCTCGAAGCTAATGTCGAAAGGAAAGTAACAATGTTTAGCTCAAAGCTAATGTCAAAAGGAAAGTAAGAATGTTTGGCACAAGCTGATTCCATATGGAGAGGAATAATGCTTAGCTCGAAGCTAATACGAAAAGTAAAGTAAGAATGTTTAGCAAAAGCTAATTCCATATGGGGAGGGAGAATGCTTAGCTCGAAGCAAACGCCAAAAGGAAAGCAAGAATACTTAGGACAAGCTTATTCCATAAGGATAGGAATAAATCTTAGCTCGAAGCTAATGCCAAAATGAAAATAAGAATGCTTTGCTCGACGGTAATTTCAAAAGGAAAGTAAGAATGCTTAGCTCGCAGCAAATACCAAAAGGAAAGTAAGAATGCTTAACACAAGCTTATTCCATAAGGAGAGGAATAAAGCTTAGCTCGAATGTAATGCCAAAAGGAAAGTAAGAATGTTTAGCTCGAAGCTAATGCAAAAGGAAAGTAACAATGCTTAGCTCGAAGCTAATGCCAAAACGAAAGTAACAATGCTTAGCTCAAAGCTAATGCCAAAAGGAAAGCAAGAATGTTTGGCACAAGCTAATGCCATATGGAGAGGAATAATACTTAGTGCGAAGCTAATTCAAAAAGGAAAGTAAGAATATTTAGCAAAAGCTAATTCCATAAGGAGAGGAAGAATGCTTAGCTCGAAGAAAATTCCAAAAGAAAAGTAAGAATGCTTAGTATAGCAACATAATTTATTTTTTTAATAATTGTTATTGTCAAGAATTTAAAGAATCATTTTTTCGAAATGTTATCTCGTGCATTGCATGGGGAGACGTACTAGTAGTTTATAAATTAAATAATATATAAACTAAACATCGTCATCGTCGTCGTCATCATTGCCATCGGGTGAGAAAAATGGGTGGGAGAGACCCCGTCAGGTGGATATGTTCATATACTAGTTATTTGAGAAATTTGCCGTCTATTCATATTTTGCCATCCATTCATATTTCGATTTCACTTATGATCTAATTGAATAGGTTCAAATTTGAATCGCTCTCCATTGTATATCATAGATACGAGCAATTTTATAAACAATATATTTTATTCATGACATTTACATTGAATAAAAACAAAACATTAGATAATTAGAAGGGGTCTTTACAAATAAGCCCATCAATGGGTACTTATTCATAAAGAGATCCAGACAATAAAATTCTTTACAAAAAAGTACACACATGGTCCAGATTTTAGTAAAAGAATAAAATAGCCCCTTATACTTTAATATGCTCGAATTTTATCCTTAATTTAATTTGACCTCAATTTGACCACAAATTTCACAAATTATTCAATTTTGACCCAAAACACATTTTTATGGACAATTTCGTCCGTCACTGCCGTTGACCGCCGGTCTCCGTCGTTGACTTTTTTTTTCCTTCTAATTTTTCCGCCACCGGTTTCCGGCGTTGACTTTTTCGTATTTTTTTCTTTCTTTCTGTAACATCCTTTTTTTT